TCTCTTGAACCCAGCCCATCAGATGCCTGTTGAAATTTAGCAGCTTTTTGGACAGTACATCCTATTTCTTTGCACTAGATTTTGCAGTGCACTAGACAAAGTTACACTCACATTCACATGCATTCAGTGAGGCATTGCTTTAAAAAAAAAAAAAAGTCTTTGAATAGAGGCTCCAGGCACAGAGCCCAGTGTGCAAGGCCCATATCAATATAAAACATAATCCAAACTACAAAGAATTCACAATACAATTAAACACAGGCAGGCAGCATGTAGGAATTCATAAAGTGCTACAAGCAGCTTCTCTTGAGCACTGCAAGTCTGGCTGTTTACAGGGTAAGTTTGCAATTATAAGAGCACTTTTAATAGTAGCAATGTAATTTTAATCAACCTCTCTCCCCATTACTCATACCTGCTCCTATGTCACCCTTGACTTCTGCTGGAACAACCATTTTTCGGGCTGCATAATAAAACAGATTGGGAAACAGACACAGTATCGGAGAGCAAGCATCGCAGAAAAATAAATGGTATTTTTAAACCCAGACTGTTTCCTCAGTGCTTGTTAGTACTAGCTTTCACTGAAAAATACTCCAGTACAAAAGAAAAGTGACACAAGAAGCACATGCAAAGAAAAGCATGTGGAATAATAGGTTGATGTTTCAGTTGGTGAAACTGAAGTAGGTATCACAAGTGGAGTGAAGATAAGGGTTGATGTGTTTGCTGCTTTTACCCTGGCTGTTAAAAGGGGCAATCTGAATACCATTGCTCATAGCAAATAAGATGATTCATAGTTTACTGACACCTGTATTTGTCCTCCTTGTGATATCTGTGCCTCTCTGCAGTTGGAAGCTAGAGTTTGTTTTGGGCTGGATAGGGTTTACAAGTAGTTTTTTTAAGAGATTTGTGTGCTACCTCAGGATTTTGGAATTAAATGCTCCTAAAATTCAATTCCTCAGACTATCACCAAGAACCAAGATAACACTTAAAAACACTTAAATCTGTGGTTCTCTAAACTGTTTATTCAACTCACATTACTCCATTCATGAATCACTTATAGGTGTTTCCTAATCAACATCCTCAGTGATAAATTGCTTTGTGTAGCCATCATAAGAAGACAGAACAAAAATAACAAAATACATGCAGAAGAAAAAAAAAGACATATTGACAGGTATGTTGAAAGCATTTTACATTGTGAATTCAGTAAAAATAGAAAAAACCCCAACAATTAAAAAAACACAAACTGACCAAAAAAAAAAAAAAAAAAAAAAAAAAAAAAAAAAAAAACCACCAAAAACCAATTAACTATTCAATATTTCCATGTCAATGATCAGCATTAAACACTGAAACCAAAGACAAGTAAAGATAAGAGATACCTGAGTTATTCTAGTGTCTCTCAGCAGTGTAAACTCATGTACTTAACATTTTATTTTTTGGATTTCAACTAAATTTCATATACACATTAAAAAAAAATTTAACTCCTATATCACTGGCAACTTGGCTAAACTTTTGGCAAATTGGAAATGTGACAACAGGCACGTAAATTACTGCAAGACCCTATAGCTTTAGAGGTACCTTTTAAAAGGAACTGTTTAAAAAGAAAGTACAATAGGTTTACAAAAGTAACTACTTGTTTTGTTCATTCATTTTTTCCTAATAATCTCATCTTTTTGAGGAGTAAAAGGTTTAGTTTCCACCCTTTAGACTGTATTTGTCCTTTACATGCAGCAGTGAGCTTCTGTAGAGGGTGAGGTCCCAGGGCAAGCACATGGGACTTGCTCCCAGCATTGTGGAGCAATGCAGAGTAACCACTCAGCTTTCAGGGCAGCTATGAAGCACAGACCAACTTCCCTTTATGTACTCAGACTGGCCTACCAAAACTGCTGTTTGAAGTTAATAATCCATAAACTGCAGTAGAGAAAAACATACTTAAGTCTGCCATTTATTGAATTTAATACATACTTGGGCAACAAGAAACTGATAAAAACACTGCCCATGTGCCACATGCTGTGACTTCGTGCAAGAAAACCAGGATAATGAAGAGCTGCAGTGAGGGACAGGGGAATAGTGAGGGGAACAAGTATTTCTTCCTTTCCAGCTGCCCAGGCTTTGAGAAGCAGCTTAAAGTTTCATACATCCATTAGCCTGAAGTGAATAAGAGTGTTGGGCTACAACATTATTTGTATAAAATATGCTGTGCCACAGAAGATGTCAACATCCCATCTATTCATATTTGCCTATATACTATAGCGCTACTATCTGTATTTTACAAGTTGTCCCTGATCCACTTCAGACAGAACAACATAAGCTGGTCTTAACTCTTAACTGATAGCTAAACCATCTTATCAGCTGGGACAGACAAGGGAGCTCACACCAGCCTGCACCAGGAAAATTAGGGGGCAGCAGCCTCTGACAGCCATGCTGAGGCAGTCAACAGGCAGGGAGAGATGCCACATGAAGTCTGCCAAGTTAGACCCACAGTACAACATGATTTCACAAGCACCTAATGGAGGTCCATAAAGGGATCTTGGCTCCCTTCCACCTCCTGCCCTTGAACATGGCACAGAGGTGACATCCTCCCACTTCCCGCACCCCACACATGCCTCCCATGCCCATCCCATGCACTGCTTGTGCCTCTGCCGCTCTCTGCAGCTGCCCACACCTCCAGAAATTTGTGTGTAAGGCAACCAGATACAGGCAGGCCAGAGGAAGAGATAAGACAAGCATTAACGCAGGCACACTGTGCAGGAGCAGCTTCAAGAGGAAGAGCTGAAGTCCCAGTTTATTGCAGCAGAGAGAAAAGAAGCCAGGAAAGGCACAGAGAGACAGGCGAGGGGTGCACACTCAGCAAATACCATCAAGTCATGTCAAGATTCAAAAACACCCCTGATTAGCTCTTTTACTGATATGCCACTAGTCAATAGGTATTTCATGGTATTTCATGAGCTTCATAATGAATTAAATCCTATTTGGCTTGTATTACTAGACTAATGCTGTGGCATCTTTCCCAACACATTCCATGAATATTGCTTCTTGTACCAGAATCTGTCTTGCTCTACCAATAAATACTTAATAGAAAGATCACATTATATTGAAATACCATAAAGTTACATTATTCCCTGTATTTTCAACAGAGGTGCTGACTAGCAAGTATTTCAAAGAATCATAGAATAGCCTGGGTTGGAAAGATCACCTAGTTCCAAACTCCTGCCATGGCCAGGGACACTTTTCACCAGACCAGGTTGTTCAGAGTTGGAAAGATCACCTAGTTCCAGACTCCTGCCATGGCCAGGGACACTTTTCACTAGACCAGGTTGTTCAGAGTTGGAAAGATCACCTAGTTCCAGACTCCTGCCATGGCCAGGGACACTTTTCACTAGACCAGGTTGTTCAGAGCCTGGGCCTTTCAGGGAGAGGGCATCCACAGCTTCTTTGGGCAAACTCTTCCTCACTTTAAGCTTATGTTCCTTTAGGTTTTCAAATCCTAGGTCTTTCTACGTTTTCTTCAGGTAAACATGTAAGCACAAGTGTTCCCACTCCTCAAGGAAGTTTTCAGGGTACATCCACACTGTCTAATGCCATGTCAATACCCCATGATTCTACCTCTACCTGAGGCAGCTCCAAGGCAGCCTGAGTGCGTCCCAGGCAGCACCCCAAGTGTTGAGCAGCAGAATAAATCAGGCAGCATGCTGTTCCCAGGCTGCTCCCAACAACCAGAAAAACTTGTTGAAACTTCTCCCACATGGTAGTGTTCAGTACAGACCTACACATGGTTCTGGGAGAAACTGAATTACAATGAAGTAAGGAAGAGAGTATCCATACATGGCAGTAAGTTTTCTGGTTTGTCTGAACAGCTTTAATTAACATACCTTGATTAGCTATGCAAGCAAAAAAAAAAAACATCAGTAAGAGCTGGTTTGCTGCCTCACTATGACTTTTCAAGCATCATACTATTCTGTCTTGGTGACGGCCACACCCAAGACCCAACAAAAATTCCAAATTAAAAGGTATTTATAAATTAAGTATCCACAAACTTACAATTCTATAACTATACACATGACATCTACAGTTGCAAAGGACAAGTCTAAGAGGTTGCTCCAATGTAGCCTCATCAACACCGCCCCTCACCAGCCAGCTGGCACTGACCTGCCTCCTCGGCTCCCGGCCTCACTGCCCATATGGCCCATCCTTAAGGACGGACCTGCCCCACGTGGCAGCAAAAGTGACCTGTCTCCAAAGAAGAGGAAGGCAGCAAGACAGGCGGCCACCCTTCCACCTTGCCAGACAACTCCTGGCTAGACATCAACCCTCAGCCCTACATTTTAATATCACCATCTTAAGCACATGGGCCACACCTCTTCCCTGTCTCTAACCTTCACCCCTAAAGGGAAAAACCTCAGTTTCTTGATGCATGGGATCACCCTTTGGGAGCAAAAGGTGTGGGAAGAAAAAGGCATTTTTAAACAATAAGGTCCCTGATGCAGAGGGGCCATGCACATGCCACGAACTAACTTGCTCTTCATGACAGGAGAGCTCTGTTCATGTGAGGCATAGCCAGAGGTCCTTGAGAGACAGGCACCGGGAGGTGTGGGGCACACCCAGAGGGTTTGGAGGAACAAGTACTGCTTAGTGCCAGAACCAGTGAAAAGGTTTAGGGGCACAGACACGGTGTGGTGTAGGGCACAGACAGAAAGCCTGGAAGCTAGGCACTGATGGGTGAAGTACACACAGTGGGGTTAGAGGAGGAAGCACCAGAGAGCACTGCCTGAGAGTCTGGAAGTATGGCACAGGAGGGTGCAGACAGGGAGAGGGACCAGGAATGCAGGTGCACCCAAAGGACGACGGTGAGGAGCAAAAAATCTCAGCGCGGCATAGCTAGGGGCTGCGGAAGACAGAAGAGGTACGCGGGAGCAAGCAGGGAGTTTGAAAGGAAGGTGGGCAGGAGGCAGCCCGAGACCCGTCCCGTCCCGTCCCGCCCAGCCCCGCACGCCCAGCGCGGGACAGACCGTGCGGAAGAGCGCCGAAGGCTCCCGTTCCCGATCCCCGCGCTCCGGTTCCCCGCTGGACCCACTCACGCGGCAGCAGCGCGCCCCACCTGTCCCCGCTCCGCCGGGCGGCAACTGCGCCGCGGCACCGCGCGGCCGCGGAAAGCAGCCCGCAGCGCCCGCCCCGGCCCGCCCCGGCCCCACGGCCCGCCCC